GTCACCTCTCTGGGGGCTGCTGTGAGGGACTGACAAGGTCATAGGTGTCACCTAGTGCCCGCTCATTTACTGGAGCTCAGTAGGAAAAGCTCAGCCAAATGGAGTGCTATTTAAAAAAAGTGAATGGCCCCCGCCCTGGTTCACGTGCCATTAACACCGTGATAAGGAGGCCAGCCTCCCACCCAAAGTGGCCTCTCTCGGGGTAAGAGACGGCGCAGGCCGCACTCAACCCACATCTTTAGCTTGGGATTCTCAGAACAGGCCTGCTTAGCAACAAAGGTGATTTTTATCTGAATGACCGACCCAAAAGAGGCCACTCCTGTCGAGGCTGGGCCATCAGAGCCTTCATTTCCTGTCTTCGGTTAACCTTTCACCCCAAAACACACCATAAAACAGAAGAATGCCGACCCAGCCGTGGTAAGGCACTAAGCGCAAGCCCAACAGCCCCAGCGTGAGAAGAAGCCCCCTCCTCTCCATGTGGTTGCACCCGGGGGTTTTATTAGGCCCTGATAAACAATGAGGTGGCAGCAGAGGGCCCTGCTAACACGTGAGACAATCATGCTCAGGGTCAGAGAGACATGGGAAGTGTGGTCGCTGGACCCACGTGAGGAGGCAAAATGGTGCTGGGAGAAAAGCCACTTCAGAGGATGTTTTGGATTCCTGAGGTTGGGAATCAGGAGACCTGGCCTTCATCTCAGTTCTACCCCTCGCTTGCTTCATGGGTCTTGTTAAGTCCTGTCTCTGGGCCTCAGTGTCTTTACCCATAAAAATCGAAGAATTGGATTAGATGATCTGTAGACTCTTCCCAGCTTTGACACCTTATGATCATTGATCTTAGAGGCAAACCCACCTTTCTCAGACCTTCCCCTTTGTGTGTTAGTTATTTGTCTGAGAGCTCTCGTAGCTCCCACTGAGCAGACTTCTGCCAACCCTATGACCTTTATTGCTCCAGAGTGGTCACTCCTGAGGGCAGAGCCTGGCCAGGCAAAAAGAGGAGAGGCTTGGGGCCATATTCTTCATAACATATCTACTCTCTCTGGTCAAACGACTCAACAACTCAACTCCAGAAAACATGTGGCATTGAGAGCTTGGCTATACCAACAACCCCTGGTCATCTGGGTTGGCTTCTTCTCACTCAAAGATTTTCCTCACTCCCCTCCAATACCACCTACACCCCCTAGGTTCCCAACTCTCTAGCAAAACATTAGACTTTCCCCCATGCTGCCTGGCAAGAGACTAGGGCTGCAGGAGGTAGTTCTTATCTGTACTCTGGCATGTCCCAGGGTTGGGCAGGGGAGAGAGGTGGCAAGGTTACAAGGGCCAGGAGAAAAGTGCCTAGAGAAGTAAGCTCCAGCTACATGAGGAGGAGGTGACCTGGAGAAGGCAGTGCGAATCATGAGGACAGACAGAGCACTGAAAAGTTACAGAATTTTAGGAAGCTCCTTGAGATGCTACCTAACCCTCTACACCTCCCTTATTTCCTTAATGAGAAATCGGAGGGCAGGTGAAGTTCTGTGAGTGGCCCAAGGCCTTGCAGCTATGCTGTGGACAATCAATACTAGAATGTGGGTCTTTGGCCTCAGCCCACACTTCTTTCCACTCTACTCCGATGACCTCAAGACCTAGTTAGGTTATTCTCATGAGGCCAGCTGGATCCCCTGCAGACTCTAAGAAACATGACCCAAGTGCCACTTAGGGGAAGAGCAGGCCCGGAAGATGTTTTGATAACTGTCTCCCTGACCCCATGTGTTCCTTCCCAAGCTGACAGGTCTAATTGTTCTTTCTCCAGCCCTCGCTGCAAAATCTTGAGGCGTTCAAAGGCCAATGAGAAGGGAGGGGTGGGCCTTCCTGTCCCTACAGAATATCTAAGATAATCACAAGGATCCCTCTTCCTTGGTCTAAAGGAGGTTGGTAGGGAAAAGGGGCAGACTGAACTAACTCACTGGAAGTCTGACCTAATTAGGCCAAGAATAGTCATCATGAGGAATTAGATGGGTCATCTGAGTGTTTTTGACACCAAACAATAGGATTTGCCTCTGCCCAGAACCTTTCAAAGACCAACGATCACCTCAGCATCAGGAGAAGGATGCTCAGAGTAAGAGATTCAAGGAATTAATTATTCAGTGTGCATGACCCAGTTCCCGGAGGTGAGGCTAGGTGAGAAGAGAACTTACCAGCTCCTTATCGTAGCAAGAAATGCAAATACTTCACAGGGTAGTGTTCCCTTTGCTGCCAAAGAGGATCCATTTATGGTTAAGAGTGCCTCCCCCCGCCCCTCCAAAAAGCCAAATTTCACACATTCAACAAATATTTATTGAGCTCCTCTGAAGTCCTATGCCCTCCAAGGATTTACATGTGGCTGGAGCTTAGCAGAGTCTAAGGATCATGAAATTTATAAACAGGAGGCCTGGGCTGTGTCCCAGCTCAGCCCTTAGGCGGCTATACTACCCTGGGCAAGGTAAAAATTTAAGTTAATTTTCTCATCTGTGAAATGGGAAGGAATCCGCCTGCTTATTATAAAGATGAAATGATCTTTATAAAATGTAAAGTGCAATGTAAACCTAAGGGATAAACAACAATGATATAACACTGCATGCTTTTCCTGCCCTCAAGAAGTTTATAACCTGCCTATCTTTGGAAAATAATCCAAGGTACATATTTGGCAAACATCACATTCCCTGTAATTTGGGCAAAGGTTATGTTTCAACCTGCTAATAGAGATGGAGCCTGTGATCAGTCCCTGTCTTCCTATCTGGAAGCCCCAGAAGTTGCAAGAAGGGGCAGAGTGAAAACAGAGTAGCCAGGACCTGCCTGGCCCTATATCAAGCCTGGGTGAATGAAACACCCAGCAAAGCCTTATGATTGATAGACAGGAAAAGACCAGCTGGAACTGTGGTCAATCAGAAACAAAACAAAACTCCATAGGAGCACAACAGAGATGAGCCGGCACACACATACCTTCCCGTATACATTTCAGACAATGATGGGACTCATTGCCCACTGCCTGACCCTCTTCTGTGGACTCATTCTATATTCTGTGTTTCTCCAGGAAAGAGAGAGGATTCTCAGGCCATAGCAGATAGGCTGATGAGGACGTCTTTGCCCAGACACTAAGAATCAAAATTCTTGCAGTAGCTTCTCCCCAGGTCCAGCCAACCCCTCCCTAGCCTGCCATTCAGGATCTCACCTCCCGAAGATCCTCAGTGCCCACCAGGGCAGCTTCTAAATGAGAGACCTGATTGCCTGCTGCCCCTCCATGGGGACTTCCACCCTGCTTCAGCCCTGGGTTAGGCACTGATGCTCTCCCCTCCTCTCCCCTCCTCCATTCTCCCCTCCACCAGAACCTGCCCTGGTCTCACACCTCCAGGGAAGCTCCTAGAGGCAGGGCCAGTTCTATTCATCTCCATGTTCCCTCTGACTCAGGGCATTCTATAAGTCCTTCACCCTCCTATAAATATAGAATGATGGTCCCAAAATGTTCTCTGACGTCTATACAAAGAAGGGAGGCAGAAGAGGAAGGAGGAGGAGAGAAAGGATGCTAGACTGGAAGTCCAGGGCCCCATTCCAATTCTCCATTTGGCACCAATTAGGCAGGTAACCTTGAGAAAATATCTTCAGGCCAGGCCTCAGTTTCCCTATCTGGTAATAAGGGGTTTGTACGAAATAATCTCTTGGGTTCTCTCTAATTATAAAATTTGATATTACAGAAACCAGACTAGCCTGGCCATAGGAGACATGTGTCCTGGTCCTTAGGAGCTGCTGCTGGGGGGCAAGTTAGCTGACTGCCCAGACCTCAGTCTCCATGTCTATAGAATAAGTGAGGATGATAGGACCGCCCCTCCCAGGGAGTGGGGTTCCCAGCAGACACTGCCATAGAGCTTCATGGGCCACAAAGCCCTGAAGAAATCTTGGGGTTTGAACTCCCTCAGTCAACAAACAGCTGCTAACCCCCTGCCACGTGCCTAATACTGTGCCTCCAGCATGGTGCTACCTGGCTCAGACAGGAAGGCTGGACAACGGGTCCGCCTCAAGGCTCCCACAGCTAAGGAGTGAGACAAACAAGTGACAAACCTTAACTCAGCCAGTCATGTATCTGGCGTCCTAACAAAGGGCTATGGAAGTGTAGAGGAGGAGGAGGTGTCAACTCTGTCTGGAGAAGGGAAGGAAGCTTCTAGAAGGAATGGCATGTCCCCGGCATGGACATCTGTTCCAGGAGTTGTGGGACTAAAGCCAGGGCTAATGAGAGAGGCAGAAAATGAGGCTACAGAGTGAGGCTGAGGTCTAACAGGAGGGGGCCCTGAAGGCTACCAGTGGAGTGATGGTCAGACTGTCTGCCAGAAAGGACAGAGAAGGGGAACAGAGTGGAGCTGGGGAGAATGGTAGGGGCTCCCACAACAGTTCCTGAGGGCGATTATGCCAACAAGTCATTATTGATTACTGTCCATACCCAGCCGCCCAGCCCCTAAGCCTCTATGGACTTGCTGAATCTACAGACAGAGGTGAACAGCTCTGCTCTCCTCAGAAGAAGAGACCAAAGCGGAGGGAGATGCTGGAATCACATTTTCAAATCTTGGACACACGGTGCAGTGCCCTGCATTCCCTTCCTCCAGAAGCTGCCCAGCCAGATTCTCGCCTTGGCCTGGATCTGGGCCAGCCGGAGACGGAAATACCATAGGGGCTGGGCCTGGAGTCGGGACAGCTGAGCTGCTGCTCTTACTAAGGGGACAAGGGACAGAGAGCCCGCCCACCTGAGACCACTGATGTAGGTCCCAGACACACATCAGTCTCAACCCCTGCTTCCCTCCCTCCTCTGACAGCACGGACCGCCGTGTGACCGACCGTGGTCTCTGAGGAGGGCAAGGGAGGCCTTCACCCACCAGTGTCTCTCCAAACGGGCTCACACGCACTTGGGCTTAAAGAAAGAGTGCAAGTGCCCCTACACTTTCCAAAGCGTGAAGCCAGCTCCTCAAGTACGACTCGACGGCACGAAACAGACTTACTTGATTCTTAGGCATCACAGTGACTCAAAAGTCCTCTCCTTGCACGAGCCATGCACAGGTTGCCACGTTCCCTTAAAAACAAGAGCCCAGCAATGAATGTCAGTTACATTATCTTACATACAGCCTCCTATCTTCTCCCTGCCACGAGGTCCCACAGGCTGTGGACTTTACCCCGTAGAAACACTACCCAACAAGAGGAAATGCACAGAGAAAGTCTCTCTGTGCTCCAAGTTTTGCATGTGAAGAAAGGGACTGCTAGGTGCTTAAACAAATCCCACTGTGTCGCTGTATGGGCACCCCAGGGTTTATCACATCGCTACATAAGAGTTTACAGAGAAAGCCAGAGGGGTCTGGAAAAGATTACTTCAGTAGCTGCTCTGGTAGAAACAGAAAGTGCCAGACTTTCTAAGGTGAAAACATGTTGAAAGTAAGTCAAGCTGGTATAAAAACATGGTAATAAGTCACCAATGTGAAATCTGCCATATTTCCCGAGGTGGAACGGGTCCAAAACACTAAGTAAACTAGGAAGTTCTAAAAGCAGACCATCTGGTCATGGCTGAGTTTCCTGAACAAACTACTATCTTGGCTTCCCTTGACCACCCAAATGGTTTGGTCATATCCTACTGCTTCTGCAGAAAATGCCCTGCACCTGTTTGGAAATGGAGCCCAGCGTTCTAAAGCACTTCTAAGAACTTACTTTCACAACTCCAAACTTCTGAGACGTGGCCTCTCAGGACAAAAGTCAACACAGAGGAGAAATCTGAGATATATGAGAGATGACACGCACACCCCACGGACAGAGGCGTACTTCGTGCGGCAGGGCGCTGGGCCGACTTGCCCACATAACCACACATGTATTCTCTCTATACACCAGGGACTGTGTTTACAGCCTAGGACTTGAACTCACTTTCAGAACTCTCAGTCTATGAATGGGAGAGCAGCTACTATTTACTGAGCATGGAACGCACACTGTAGACCAGATGTGTTCTGTTCCGGTGGCTCCTCACAGACAGGAACAGAGAGGCCTGGAGAGCAGAAGGCACCTGCCACAGCTTCAAGGCACAGCAGGATTCAAGCCCAGGGCTGACTGACCCAGTGCTCATGGGCTTTCCCACCACACCGAGGTGAGAGGGGTCCTAGCACAGCTGTGGCAGGTCCAAACAGCCTGCAAACAGCCTGGTGGGCTCCGAGTGCAGCCACTTGGGCAGAAGTTCCCATCATCCCCATCATGATCATCATTATCAAGCCACACCTCTCAGGCCCATGGCAGCCGACAAACAAGCTGGCCTGCCTCACCCACATTCTATCAGCCTGAGCTGTAGGCTCAGAGAAGTTGGAGGACTCCTTCTCTGCCCCTGGGCTTCTTAAAGGAAGCACACTGGACTGACAGCACAGTGGGATGCAGGTGGGCATTTCCAGACCAGTCTGTAAGGGCCGACCATTGGTCAGATTCCCATAGAGATCTGGACACACTGTGATCCAGCTACTCCAACGACCAACTCAAACATTCTGTCTGACCAACAGCTAAATGTACTTCAGACTCCCCTGTACTCCACTAAACCAGAAGGTCCTAGGGCCCAGCACCTCCCTTCCCCTCGAGGGGTCTCAGTTTCCTTATCTATAAAATGAGAAGTTTGGCCTAATTGGTGATTTCCTCACTAAAGACCCCCTTCTAGCTGCTCCCCTCTAAGGGCTCTGACTTAAAGCGACACCTACAAAGCTTCTCAGTAGTTAAAAAGAATTGAAAGGATTAAACCATGGCCAGGCATGGTGGTGGGTAGTTAGCATGTGCTAGCATAGACAATCCTCCCAGCAACTCTAGGAGGCAGGTGGTACAGCCACGTGATGCGGAGCTTGGGGGGAGGGGGACTGAGGCATGGCCCAGCAAGCACCTCGCCTGGCCACAGCGCCTGGGACGCACAGTGGAGCTGGCCTGACGCCATGCTCCTGTGTGCTCCTTGACACAATGTTTCCCTTTGTAAGAGAATGAAGAAATAATGTCTCCTCTCAGACTCGCCACCTTGCCAGTCCCAAGCAAAGAAGCACCAAGTCTCCAGGCCCTGTGCACCTGACTTGGGTGCTTCAGGAAAGATTTCCTGTGTGGTTGAGTCGGTTCATGATCTCGAGGGCCATGAGGGTATCTCAGGGGGCCTTTCTCTCTGCTGTGCTCCCAGCCGAGCCCCACAGACTCTGGGTCTTCACTGAGGGACCCCGAGCGCTTGGAACAGGGCCTGGCACCCACTAGATGCTCCATCAGTATTTGCTGAATGAAGGACTGAAGAACTCCAGAGGTTAGATGCACTTAAGGCTTGTTCAAGAACCCTTTGGTATAAATTAGCACGAGACACACCAAGACTGGCTCAGAACCACAAAACTGGCCCCTCAGCAGTGTGTGCCAAGGTGTCCACACCGTACCCCCCAGCCCCCCAGACAGAGGAGGAAGGCTCAGAGGCTGACCCAGATCTGCTCTTCATCCCAGGGATCAGGTGAGCATCTGCTAGAGCCAGAGAAGCGTCTGAACGTAAAGGCTGCCCGGCGAAGTGGTCATGGGCTCGGGCCCTGGAATCAGGCAAACCTGGCTTTCTACTCCAGCTCTGCCACTTGAAATTAGTCAGATGGCCCTGGACGAGTCATGTAATTTCTGCGAGCCTCAGCTTCTGATGTAAAAATGGGACAAATGTTGATACCCACTCCACAGGCTTGTTCTGAAGATGAAGCAAGTTACTGCGGTTCAGGATGCAAGCCCGTGCGTGTCATTCATGGAGACAGAGAGGACATGGCTTGTGACTGTCTGCACTAGAGCGGACAGAGAAGAGCACATGTGGGGTCCCCTGCTTGGGTGCAACCCCAGCTCTCCTACTAGCCCGTTGTGTGACCTCAGGCAGCTTGCTTCATCTCTTTGTGCCTCAGCTCCCCAGTATAGAACATGGGATTGATTGTGAAGACTAAGTGAGTTATGTAGGTAAAGACCTGAGAATAATGCCTGCCACAAAGTAAGTGAGCACTCCATACTGGTGACTTAGCATTATTCTTAATTATTAATATTGCAAGCACCCTTCTCCCTTTGTTCCAATACAGATTCCACCCTATTTCCCACTCCTCAGCCAAAAACGTAGGTATGGGACTCAAGATAGGTTCATCCGAGGATCTCTCCTTCTGGGCTATGATCTTGAGTACGAAAGGTATGCACCAGGTCCCAGTTGGGCCAGGTTCTAATCTGAAAACCTGGGGAAGGCCTGGTCCTCTTGGAATGGGTGGAGGGCTGTGTGGGGCCAGCTGGGAGCTGCCTGCAGCCATGGGTCACCGAGCAGGGGATGCCGGAGGTCACCTGTTCTCTTCCCAGTGCTGGATTCTGCAGCATTTCCTTTGAGTCTGAGTCTCCCCTAGAACCTTCCAAGGTATCCCATTTTTGCTTAAGCTCATTCAAGTTGGATTCCTGTCACCTGAAACCAAAAGAGTCTCAACTAACAATAGCACTCAGCAACTGGCCGCTTCGTCATCACTAAATCCCACCCAGGAGGAAAAGCCAGCTGCACACTCCCAGTGAGCCCCAGACAGCCAGGGAAAAGTGAACATGTGCAGCAAGGTGTCCTGCAAAGTGAAGTGATGGGAGGCCACTACAAGCCCTGCCCCCACGCCCTTCCTGGGAGAGAAAGATGCTGGAACCAACAATGTGAATAGCTCCATCCTGTGGCCCCTGGCTGGGAACCCAGCCTCAGACGTGGGTGCCCCTCACAAGAGCGGTCAGAAAGAGGAAGAAGAGAAAGGGGAGAGGATTTCCATGGACTTCACAGTGGTGGAAAAAAACTCCAGGCAGTTGCTTGAGACAACTCTTTTCAGAGGAGGAAGGAAGGTGCTTAAGAGAAGGGAAACCACCTTGTCTGAGCCCTTAAATGCGCGACTCTTTCCCTGGTGCAATTGCCTTGAACTTGCAGCACAGCCCTAGGAGCTGGATGCTCATCCAACCCATTTTCCAGTGGAGGAAACTGAGGCTCAGAGAGCTCAATGCCTAACTCATCAAGGTCACGCTTCTAGTGCCCGATGCCCGGTCCACCTGCCAGGGACACTGCCATGGAAGCCAGGATGCTTGGGCCCCGAGCCCGAGGCCTCCTCCTCACCCAGGCCCCTCCACTGCCACACAGGCCTGTGTTCCAACCACCCAAGGGAGATGGTCATGTGCTGCTGCCCCTCGTTTACAACCCGCCTTCCACCCCCTCCCAGAGACAGCTTTCCAGAGGAAGGGGCTGCCTGCAGGTGCTGACAGGACAGGGAGCACCATGGATATCTGGAGGGAGTCCCTGGGCACATTTCCTTCATTGGTTACTTTAATCCCCAAGAACCATGGTGTGATGCTATGGACATGGCATGTATCCATGGGTTTTAACGAGGACATGCCCGTCAAAGCCCATGCGGAGTTTCCCAGGATTTGGGTTTTGGTTTTTTTTTTAATCCTCAGTCACCTTTCCCAAGAGGTTCTGACTTGACAGGTGCAACTACAGTGCAGGACATGGTACCATGCTCAACAGGGTCTCGTCCTCCCACCACCTTCCGGGCCAGCACCAAAGACAGTCCACTCCTGGACCCCCGGGGCCTTCCCCACAGCATCTTTTCAGTTCCCTCCAGGAAAAGCAGCTCCAACTTCAGGTGTGTTTTAAAGAGTTTCAGAGAAACAGAAACAACAAAAGAACAAGACCTGGGAGCAAAATCACACCGATGGCCTCCCCATCTCCCGCAGCATTAGCCAGGGGGTGGACACACACCTCCGCACGTGGGGTCCCCAGCACCAGAGTCTGCACAGGCCTATGCCAAACACCCAGCGGAGTGATGCCTGTGCAGATGTGAACATCGGCTAGAGCAGAAGTGGGAGCTTTCAGCCTTTCCCCGGGATGACACTCCAGCCAAGCCAAGCAGCCTTGGCAGGGTGCGGGCTGTTCCTGAGGGTGTGCGGGAGGTTCACTGAGCCTTCCGAAGAGGCCTCCCCCACGGACCCAGGCAGACACCCATGTCACAGTGCCACACGGCGCCCCAGCCCCCTGCCAGCTGGTGTGGCCTTCCTCTTCTTTGTTTTCCG